GGTTACAGTGTTCTGACTATCCACTATAGTCATCTGATTGTTCTAAGTGTTACAGTGTTCTGACTATCCACTATAGTCATCTGATTGTTCTAAGTGTTAGTGTCCTGATTGTACCAAGTGTTACAGTGTTCTGACTATCCACTATAGTCATCTGATTGTTCTAAGTGTTACAGTGTTCTGACTATCCACTATAGTCATCTGATTGTTCTAAGTGTTACAGTGTTCTGACTATCCACTATAGTCATCTGATTGTTCTAAGTGTTACAGTGTTCTGACTATCCACTATAGTCATCTGATTGTTCTAAGTGTTACAGTGTTCTGACTATCCACTATAGTCATCTGATTGTTCTAAGTGTTACAGTGTTCTGACTATCCACTATAGTCATCTGATTGTTCTAAGTGTTACAGTGTTCTGACTATCCACTATAGTCATCTGATTGTTCTAAGTGTTAGTGGCTTGATTGTTCTAAGTGTTACATTGTTCTATCTTCAGCACTATAGTCATCTGAATGTTCAAAGTGTTACAGTGTTCTGACTATCCACTATAGTCATCTGATTGTTCTAAGTGTTACAGTGTTCTGACTATCCACTATAGTCATCTGATTGTTCTAAGTGTTACAGTGTTCTGACTATATATCCACTATAGTCATCTGATTGTTCTAAGTGTTACAGTGTTCTGACTATATATCCACTATAGTCATCTGATTGTTCTAAGTGTTATAGTGTCCTGATTGTTCTAAGTGTTACATTGTTCTATCTTCAGCACTATAGTCATCTGATTGTTCAAAGTGTTACAGTGTTCTGACTATCCACTATAGTCATCTGATTGTTCTAAGTGTTACAGAGTTCTGACTATCCACTATAGTCATCTGATTGTTCTAAGTGTTACAGTGTTCTGACTATCCACTATAGTCATCTGATTGTTCTAAGTGTTACAGTGTTCTGACTATATATCCACTATAGTCATCTGATTGTTCTAAGTGTTACAGTGTCCTGACTATATATCCACTATAGTCATCTGATTGTTCTAAGCGTTACAGTGTTCTGACTATCCACTATAGTCATCTGATTGTTCTAAGTGTTATAGTGTCCTGATTGTTCTAAGTGTTACATTGTTCTATCTTCAGCACTATAGTCATCTGATTGTTCAAAGTGTTACAGTGTTCTGACTATCCACTATAGTCATCTGATTGTTCTAAGTGTTACAGTGCTCTGACTATATATCCACTATAGTCATCTGATTGTTCTAAGTGTTACAGTGTTCTGATTGTTCTAAGTGTTAGTGGCTTGATTGTTCTAAGTGTTACAGTGTCCTGATTGTTCCAAGTGTTACAGTGATCTGATTGTTCCAAGTGTTACAGTGTCCTGATTGTTCTAAGTGTTAGTGGCTTGATTGTTCTAAGTGTTACAGTGTCCTGATTGTTCCAAGTGTTACAGTGATCTGATTGTTCCAAGTGTTATAGTGTCCTGATTGTTCTAAGTGTTAGTGGCTTGATTGTTCTGAGTGTTACAGTGTCCTGATTGTTCCAAGTGTTAGTGGCTTGATTGTTCTAAGTGTTACAGTGTCCTGATTGTTCCAAGTGTTAGTGGCTTGATTGTTCTAAGTGTTATAGTGTCCTGATTGTTCCAAGTGTTACAGTGATCTGATTGTTCCAAGTGTAATAGTGTCCTGATTGTTCTGACCATTTTCTAATTGCTACAGAGTCCTGTAGTGTTATGACACAGTTTGGAAAGTAGATTAAAGTATCTGCTAATGCAGTAGGTGACTAACCTCGACATACATCATTGTTTCCTTCCCCAGTCCTACAGACCTCTCTACCCACTTCAGATTTCAAAGAAATACAGAAAATAAACATTTCAAACTGTAAGCATATTTCAAAATATTGTTATACTTTAATTCATATTTCAAGGGAATAATCCAGCACAGAAATAAATGTTCCGAAAATAGATTTTCTGAATTCCAGTTAAAAATACTGTGTATTAATTACAAGGAACTAACATAAAACCAAACGTACATAATTTGGGTTGATGAAGATATGGGTCATATCGCATGCCCTGTAGCACCATGTCAAACAGGCTGTATTACATGGAATACATCGTCTGTAGGATATAACAGGTGAACCAGGTTACATATTAGAGAGCAGGTGTTGCATGCAGCCAAATATGTACAATCTGTTGTCAATAGCAACAATTGACAGGTGATTGATCTCTGTCCATAATACAGGTATGTCAGTCAGACTCAGGTGTTTGGGGTTTTATTTCACTGTTCTTTACATGAGAGTATTGGACTGTGCTTATGAGCACGAGGATTTGCAGATTGTAGGATAGATTCTCTTTGTTGGTTTCTTAATAAATAAATATTGAACACATACAGCAAAGTGTTGTGGTGTGTCTACATGTATTTCAGTCATATCATAGCAAGGTGAGTCAGGTCTTAGGTGATTATCATTTTGACTGACCCTGCATGCAGGGGTATAGTTTTATGGCAAATTTAGGAATCAAACCCACTATGATAGGATCGTGGTGCAGCAAGGGAGGAAACTCTTCACAGCATATTGCATTGTCTTTGAAGACTGAGCAAGTCAATGTGTGAGTTAGCAATTAAGTGGAGTGTGTGAGTGAGTGAGAGTGAGTGAGTGAACTGGCAAACACGTGGACATATGAGTGAGCAGCAAGTATATATATATATATATATATATATATATATATATATATATATATATATCATCTAAATTCCACTTTCAAATCTTAGATACATCTGAAACAGAAATAGATTTTTTACAACTAAAATAAAGAACCTTTGCCCTTCAAAAACTGTGTAACTTTAACCAAAATCATTCCTCATCTTGGGCCTAGAATGATCACCTGACACCTACCCTGGCCCAGCCCAGCGGGAGTTACATGTTATTGCAGCCTACAGAACCAACACAGATAGTACTATCTCTCTCTCAGCAGCATCTCAAACACTTCAAAGTTCCACACGCTGCAGATGCATTTGTTTTCAGGATGCCTCAAATTCCAAATTCTAAGATCAGGTACCTTATTTCCTCCATTAGACCATGGGCGTCTATTAATTTCAGCTACCCACTGACTCAGATTGCAGTCTGTTCAATGCTGGCACAGTGATAATGTGCAACGAATCCCACAATCTACAGTCATACCAACAGTATATTTGTACGATTTGATTGGTTCGTTTTTCTTTTAATGCCGCACTCAGCAGTATTCCAGCTTTATGGCGGCAGTCTGTAAATAAACGAGTCTGGACCAGGCAATCCAGTGATCAACAAACAGCATGAGCATCAATCTACGCAAATGGGATATGGTGACACGTGTCAACAAAGTGAGCAAGCCTGACCAACCGATCCCATTAGTCGCCTCTTACAAGCATGGGTTCCTGAAGACCAATTCTAACCCGGATCTTCATGTGTAATATTGTAGGAGAAAGACATTATTAATCACAAACAGCAGAAACTAGCAAGATTTTGTCATAGACCTTGAAATATTCCTGCATGTCATATTAATGTTACTAAACAATGGATAATTACCTTGATGAAATGACAGACTTTCCCTCTATCAGAGACCTGGCTTTTTTATGGGACAAAGCACACATGTCCTTGCAATAATCAGGGGTCAGTGTCTAACACTGGAAATACGGTATGCTACCATTGTGACTCATATATATCAATCCAAGCACTGACCAATGTACTAATCCAAGCACTAATCCAAGCACTGACCAATGTACTAATCCAAGCACTGACCAACACACTAATCCAAGCACTGACCAACACACTAATCCAAGCACTGACCAACACACTAATCCAAGCACTGACCAATGTACTAATCCAAGCACTGACCAATGCACTAATCCAAGCACTGACTAACACAATAACCCAAGCACTGACCACTGCACTAATCCAAGCACTGGCCAATGTACTAATCCAAGCACTGACTAACACAATAACCCAAGCACTGACCAATGTACTAATCCAAGCACTGGCCAACACACTAATCCAAGCAGTAATCCAAGCACTGACCAATGTACTAATACAAGCACTGACCAATGTACTAATCCAAGCACTGACCAATGCACTAATCCAAGCACTGACTAACACAATAACCCAAGCACTGACCAATGTACTAATCCAAGCACTGGCCAACACACTAATCCAAGCACAGACGATTGAAAGCATTATTCAAAGCACCATTCCAAGCACTGATGACCATTTCTAGGTCAAGTAATACCCTCTGTGCCCCTCCAGTGAAGAAGGTGACAATATGTCCTTGCCAGTGCTGCAGGTTGTTCTATTAGTCAAGCTAACAATAATGCTGCTTCAGTAATAATGTAAAAGTGAGTGAGTGAGTATAGTTTTACGCCGCTTTTAGCAATATTCCGGCAATATCACAACAGGGGACACCAGAAATGGGCTTCACACATTTTAACCCAGGCCTTTAGAGTGACAAGCAAACGCTTCAACCATTAGGCTACCCCACCACCCACTATATAAAAGGGGGAAGGACACACAGTAAATAAGACCATCAGCCCTACTAGCTTTACATACCAACCCAAACTTTCATAACACCAGCATGAACAGTGTTTGCAGAAAACATTCACATGAGCATATCTGGAAAATAACATGACATTTTTCACCTGTAGACATGATAACCTGGCCCCCTGTACTGACAAAAACAGCATGTCACAACAATGCCCTTGTCTGCCACACAATCTACTTCCTGAATTTCCGACAGAGGTCACGATCACTGCTCATATTGTGTGGAAACAATAGTGTCATGGCGTGCGCAGTTAGTTTGGTAGGTTTGTTTGTTATTTAACGCCGCACTCAGCAGTATTGCAGCTGGCATTAAATAATCAAGACCAGACAATCTAGTGATAAGACCAGACAATCCAGTGATCGACAGCACGATCTACACAATTTGGATACAGCCTTTCTCCTCTCTCTTCCCCCTCAAGTCCCCAGTCCCAGTACGTAATGATCATATACCTGAACAAACAGCCGTCCATCCTTGTCGGGCAAGATCCTGTACTGGTGTACTCGAGACTGGTATCTGAAAGGACATACAGTATCACAATTACTGTCATTGTACATTCTTGTCAATTTGAGACACAACATTGATGTTTATTTTAGTGTTTCATGTAGATATTGCTGTTTATGACACACGGTTTTGTTCCCAGAAGGAACGAGTATGAAAGGGGTTGGTGAGTACCTTATACTCTCTGGGTAGAATATATTACAATATAAAGATCAAACCAACTGCCTCTTTTCACTTGCTTCCTGTGAAACTCTAATTCTATCCTAAAAACACAGAAGCTGCATTTCCATCCTGTTGTATCATCTTTCATCACTAGCGTTTGCTCGTCACACCGAAGGCCTGGGTTTGATTCCCCACATGGGTATAATATGTGTTGCCCATTTCTGGAGTCCCCGAATGTGATATTGCTGGATTATTGCTAAAAGTGGTGTAAACCTAATCACTCACTCTTTCATAACTACAAATCACATCCCAGCAGCAGGTAACCTGATATCACAGTCCGACCATGTGAAACTCTGCCCTCTAAGTAGACAGGGAAACACACCAGGATGTTGTCCCACCTCCTTACATTTAAACAAAACCAAACCACTCACCATCAAAAACCTATATGAAATTACTTAAAAAATAGGCTCTGTGGCTCACATGTCTTATAAAGAAAGAGACTCTTTAAATCTACTTTGCACAAACACCTACAGAGTGTTTTCAAAAAAAGTTTCTAGGCCAAAGAAAAAAGTCTTTGCAATATCGTTTAGAACCATGATATCATAGTGTTTATCATGTGATTGGCCATCATCACTTGGTGCCATCAGCATGTTTGGTTTTCTTACAGTCGTTACATTCAGAGTTTGAGCCCGGTACAAAAACTGGATCTTAAAACAAACTTGGAACATGATTAACTTCTTTCTTTCAAGATTGCCATGGAATATAGAAAATCTCACACACGCATCTTGGATACCAGAATAACAAATACATCATAATATCAATGAAAGGGAAAATAAAGGCTTGTCGTTTTTATTTATCAAGTCTCTTGACATTTTCAGTTTGCCACCGGTAATGACCTGTGTCTTGATGTATAGAGTACAACTTAACAGAGGGGACAAAGGGATTAGTGATATCATGTGATTATGACATCACAATAACACTGTGATCTCATTGTAGCGATATCTCCCAGGCTGAACCATTATGTTGGCTTAATTCTACTGTAGTTGCAGCAGATACTCAGCCAACAATTCTCACCTCTCATTTTAACAAGTCACACAACTATACCTACTTACGCAAAATTATAGAGAAATTATATTTCAAACATAAGATTGGTTTAGTCAGAGATTTTGGATACAGCTTTTTGCTAAAGATCACAACAAATTTTCATGAATCTTCCATAACAGATATTGCTTGATCTAAAACAAGCGATATCACCTATGGAAGCACATTTGGATGCAAAAATTAAATTCTTGTACATCATACATCTTAGACGAAGGTCAGGTGAGCCTAAATACAGGTATACTTACAGCAAGCACAGCACATAGGCCCCAGCTAGAGATTTAGCCTAAATGCAGGTATACTTACAGCAAGCACAGCACATAGGCCCCAGCTAGAGATTTAGCCTAAATACAGGTATACTTACAGCAAGCACAGCACATAGACCCCAGCTAGAGATTTAGCCTAAATACAGGTATACTTACAGCAAGCACAGCACATAGGCCCCAGCTAGAGATTTAGCCTAAATACAGGTATACTTACAGCAAGCACAGCACATAGGCCCCAGCTAGAGATTTAGCCTAAATACAGGTATACTTACAGCAAGCACAGCACATAGGCCCCAGCTAGAGATTTAGCCTAAATACAGGTATACTTACAGCAAGCACAGCACATAGGCCCCAGCTAGAGATTCACTGTCTCGCAGCAAGAAGGAGCCGTCGTCCCGAGCCCTCATCAACAGCTCCTCAGCGTGGAGGCGGGAAATCCCTTTGTGGAAGCATGATGCGGCCGACATCTTCTTCGGGATCCGACGTTGTATTATCTTCCCATAGGTCCTGGAGACAGAGATATCACATACAACTGTCTGGACATTACCCCCTTCACCAAGGACATATGCATCAAACACATACATTTATCAAAGTTTCTGGGCCCTTATTCTCGAAAAGGTTCGTAGCCCTACGAACTTCTTAAGCCCATTCTTAGCACATTGGCTACGAGTCAAGAATTCTTAGGGCTACGAACGTTTCAAGAATAAGGGCCCTGGTTACAATAACCATCTGTCACTGAAACTACCAATGTGACAACCACATTACCATGGACGTTCAAATATAGAGAAAAGTGAGTGAGTGAGTTGGGTTTTACGCCACTTTTAGCAATATTCCAGCAACATCACGGCGGGGGACACCAGAAATAGGCTTCACACATTGTATCCATGTGGGGAATCGAACCCAAGTCTTCGGCGTGACAAGCGAATGCTTTAACCACTAGGCTACCCCACAGCCCCCTAAATCATTGTTGTTCTGAAATAATGTACAATTAGGTAAAATCAAGGTCAAAGCTCTGCTTGCTACTATACTCTCTCTGAGTGAGTGCGTAGGTGAGTGAGCGAGTGAGTTGGGTTTGAGACCACTTTAAGCAACAATGCAACTCTAACTTGTTTAGGGTGAATGAGGGGTTTAATGCCATTTTCAGCATCAGAGAGATATATTTGTGGGTATTTTATGAAGTGGGTGACTATTGATTATATATTATAATAATCACAGCAGTATAACAATGGTTGCATACATCTCCACATGGTTACAGGAGCTGTATAATTGTTGCAACAGTGTTACAAAAGTGTGGTGAAAGTGTTCACCTTCCTAGCATCTACAGCACAAAAGCACACATTTATAGACCCATTATGTTGTTCAACATCTAAGACTGACTGACTGAGTTTGGTTTTACGCCGCTTTTAGCAATATTCCAGCAACATCACGGCGGGGGACACCAGAAATGGGCTTCACACAATGTACCCATGTGGGGATTCGAACCCGGGTCTTCGGCGTGACGAGCCGACGCTTTAACCACTAGGCTACCCCACCGCCCCTCAACATCTAAGAAATGCAGATTCAGCACTCTTTAGAGCCTACAAAGAAACATGTTTATTAATGATCTGTATTGATCTGATCCTTTTCCTTATCATCTGTCCTGCTCACAACCTCAATCAACGGATAACACAATCAAAGACAAAACAAAAATTCTGAAAATAAATACACTAAAGAACATGTACAGACATGAATGTTGAACAAATAAGCCAATGAATCAATCGTTTTATCCACTAGCATGGCACCTCTTGGAGGAAGATCAACTGCACATGGTACAGTCAGATTGGCCACTGGCTGTTGAGTTGGGGTTTTTTAAGGTCTATGAAAGTTTCATTGAAACACTTTAAGCCTTGAAGGTTCTAATTTCAATCATTCACAACCACCTCTGTGATCCAGTTGACATAGCATCTTCCCAGAGAGAAAAAGAACTGCTGTCTACTTTGATGGCATTTTAGAAGTTGAGTTGATGAAGAATAATGACAATTATTATGGACATAGACATCACTTGCTTGACAACGACATTAGAATCTATGTCGAAACGTCGCCTCCACAGAATAAAAGAAGTTGTATATCCATAATAATTGTCAATATTCTTCAACTGCTGTCTGCGTCATAATAAGGGTGTTAGAAGATGGTACTTCTTGTTACCCTGCCTGGAGTTGGCGTTGAGGGACAAAACATCTTAACCTGGATGAAATGTAGTTGAACACTACATCATGTAGCTATACGCATGACTGTGTATTTGTTTGTGTTAGGCTGATTATACTAGCCTTATCTACTCTGCATCTTATAGCCGGAGATATAATGTAAGGTTCGCATGTCTCAGTGAGAGAGTGAGTGAGTTTAGTTTTACGCCGTACTCAGCAATATTCCAGCTATATGACGGCGGTCTGTAAATAATCGAGTCTGGACTAGACAATTCAGTGATCAACAGCATGAGCAGCATCTGCGCCATTGGGAACCGATGACATGGTTCTGACCACGAGCCTGACCACAAGATCCCGTTAGTTGCCTCTTACGACACGCATGGGTTACTGAAGGTTCCTTCTAACCCGGACCTTCACGGGTGTTTACCTGTCTACCCAACATGGACACAGTGTACTGAGTCCCAGTCCAATGTTTGATATAACTTCTTTTAGTCTGCCTTAATGACATACCTTGACCAGTTCAGAGGTCTTTCGCAATTGTCAGTAAAACTTCCGAGATGGAAATTAAAAAGATTATGTTTCATGTAAAAACAGTCATAAGTAATGAGAATTGGCCTAAAATTACAAGAATCAGTGCTTACTAAGAACGAGTAATCCTATAAAATGTTATATTTCAAGCTTTAGAATCACAATGGTACCTCTTGCTCTGAGGAAAGTGAGTTCCATTACTGTCTCCATGCCAACCAGTCCTTGTTTTATTCCCCTGTGCCCAGTGGCAGGCACGGTAACAATAAGTACCATCTTTCGTTACATGTTGGTCTAAATCTGCCGGGCGACTAACAGGATCGGGTGGTCAGGCTCGCGGACTTGGTTGACACATGTCATCGGATCCCAATTGCACAGATCGATGCTCATGCTGTTGGTCACTGGATTGTCTGGTCCAGATTCAATTATTTACAGACCGCCGCCATATAGCTGGAATATTGCTGAGTGCGGCGTAAAACTAAACTCACTCACTCACTCACTAAATCTGCCGGGAATCAAACCACCGAGCTGTAGACCAATTTTAACCCAGATCTCCACGAGTGAGTGAGTGATGTTCTCTATCCACCACACCACTATGAAACCTGAACTACAGACGTATCACTGCAGCGCGATGCAGTCATCGCCGTCCACCACAACAGCTAATCAATACCTAATCCTTTCAACCCTTTAATGGATACGCCTGTAGGCCTTCATGACGTTTTAACAGCTTTCAGAAAGCGAACTGAAATATGCAGGTAAAAGGGATGTGTAGCGATTCACGCCTTCAATGATGAATCGGATCATCATGGTCTCCCTGCTTTCATCTCGTCTATCCGCCGCCACGGGGACCTGATTAGGCGCTATTATGTTTTACAGCCTAGGGAATAGTTGATTCGTTTTTGGACAAGTGTATAAACTTGTCATGTTAATGATGTTTATTTCTTTGAAGACAAATTTTGGATAGAGATCAAGAAACGAGGGACAGATTGAGAGTGGGGTTCATTTCGAAGGTGATAACTAACTGAAATGTCGCTACTTTTCATCGTTGTTTGAAGTAGCTATCTGGTAATGGCTCATGGGTAGTTCCGTGGTTAAAGCCTTTCTTCATCACACAGGCATGGGTTCAATTCCCATATGGGTACAAAGTGTGAAGGCCATTTCTGGTGCCCCCTGCCATGATACTGATGGAATATATAGGGCATCAACTCACAGTGACAATGAATGACCAGTGATGGGATGGCCGAGTAGTTCAGGTGTTTCCTTGCCTGGGTTTGATTCCCAGCTTGGGATAATGTGATACAAACATTGATCATTACTGACATGATACTAACAATATAAAAGTATTTTGAGTCATGATATTTCTTTAATAAATTTACACATCTATGAATCCCTTACAGAATAAAAATTTACAAAAGAAACAGCATAAAAGAAAAAGAAATATAACAGAAAAACAGTCAAAGTATTTGTATCACCACCAACAATTTTACAAAATTTTAAAACGAAGAAATAAATCTGCTTGAAAACAATTTTCTCAAATTTATTTTTTCTAATCTTAAACTGATGCCTGTAAGCAAAAATGTTAAATACCGTGGTAGTGCTGGACATGATGAAGGGCAAATCACATCGGAGGCGATAATGAGAGTTGTAAAGCATTATCTGTGTTTAAATGGCAGGGTGACGTGACAAGCTCCCCCTAGTGGTGACCTTTCCTGTGCAGCAGAACAACTTCATGCTGGGATCCGTGTACTAACGTTTAAATGATATAATCTGCCATCTTAGGGGAAACGCTCCATTGTCACTGCTCAATCAATCAAAGAATCTGGTTACAATAACTATCCCTCACTGAAACAACTTATTTGAGTGAGTGAGTGAGTAAGAGTTGTATTTGTGTATATGTGTGTATTTAATGGAGTGGGTGACTATCGAGGGTAATACAACAATCACAGTAGTGCTACATACAAGCTATCGTGAAAACGTTCACCTTCTCTTGACATGAAAGTTTGTGTAGTGTGTGTGCCAATAGATATACTTATTGCTCTCTCTCCCATCTAACAAACCGTCACACACACACCCTCTTTCTCCCTTTCTCTCTCACCTCTCTCTCTCTTTCTCTCTCTCCTTTCACCCTTTCTCTCACCTCTCTCTCTCTTTTCTCCCTCTCTCTCTCCATTCTCTTTCTCTCTCCTTTCTCTCTCACACACACACTCACTCTCTCACACAAAAAACACAAGCTATCAAGTCAAGAGCATAAGGAAGTTCTTCTAAGATTTCAGATAAACCAAATGAAGTGTCTATCGTGAAAGTAACATCACATCGTTAACCTAAATGGTAGGAAGTGCGTGATGCACATCAAAATAGGAAACTCCTGCTCACTGGCAAACAGCCCTTCGGGGGATCTTATTAGTCAGGAATACAAATAAAATTGTCACGGCTCTCGACCCAGCGCAGATTAAATAGATCCTTGCCATGAATTATTTCTTGGGTCTGTGTAGTCACTGAGGGAGCAATAATGGCCAATCTCTCTCCTATAACTGGTGAATAATACACTTGTATAACAGACGGAGATATAAATCTGAAAAACGATCACAACCAACTCATAGTCGAGTCATGGATATCCTGTTTGGGGGTTTGAATTAAACTGAAGACAATGATTTTGAAATGTTCTTCCATTCCCAGTTGGAAGAGCCAGTCAGAGTAAAAGTAACGTAATTCTTATTCATGTGTGAAAGATCTCAGAGAAATTTACATTTTTTATCTCATTCAGATTTGGAGGGTTTTTACCTCTGAATTTATCTGAAT